CGTCTATAGCCTTATCGCCCTTTAGTATAATAGTAGAAGACAGAGTAGCCGTGATAGTAGAAGACGGGGTAGCTATAGCCTCCTCCGTGTTAGGGTTTACGGCGAGGGCTTCATATTTACGGATATTAGATGGTATAGGCTTAAGAAGCAGGTAGGTATCGGCCTCCTTATCGCTTAGCTTTAGATTAAGATAATTTTCCTAGTAGGAGGTAGATTTACCGCGCACGGTATACTCCTATATTACCTAATCCCTCTAATTAATAAGGGTAGTAGCGGCCGCCTTTTATCTAATATTACATACGTTAGAAGATATCTTTACTTGCTTATCGGTTAATTAATTATTTAATTCGTAGGTCGATAGGTTAATTAATTATTTAATTACTCTGATTAGGTTAAGTATAGTTATTTTAGAGTGCTTATATAAACGTGATTACTCTTATAGTATAATAGGGGTAGCGTTATTAATATTTATCGTTTAGACGTTATAAACCGGGCTTATAACTATCGCACGTTAAATAGCACTTAGATAATTAACTTAGTAAAGTAGAAATCTTATATATATATATTATATCCAGTTTTATCTATATAAGTGTTTTATACCCTTAATTTCGATAGTAAAGACTCTGTTATGGGTACTATATTATTTGGATCCTATCCGGTCTTTTCCGGTATCCGCCCCTGTTATATCCTAATACCCGAGGCCCGAAGCCCTTAGTCAGGGAGTGGATCCCGCCTGGATCCCCTATAGACCACGTCGTGGTCCTGCCTATGCGACAGGGACTGATTACATAAGGTTCGTATATGCGTATATGCCTCGTACGAAGTGGACCAATAAGGCCCCGTTCGACAATCTCAACAACTATTGAAATTTTGTCAAAATGTCCAAAAACTGCATAACTCATAACCCACCTATGATATAAGGACCCCGTTTATATAATATTTTCAGTATAACTGTATTTTTTATATATCCCTCTACTATCCCCCTATTATTGAAGTACTACGCTAGGCAGGGATCCTCTTATTAACGTTTTCCTAAAAAACGGTCGCTTTTTATATAGGAGTGCCTGTTAAAGCTTTTAATCGTAATAGCTGTTAAAAGTCTTTAATAAGATATGATCCACTATAAGCTGCGCCGTTATAGGTAAGGCTATCACCACCCACGATAATAGTCGTACCCCTAAACCCGATCTTATAGTCCTAATATTAATCCTGTAACGACCTAATATCACTTAACGCCTCTAGAGGCGTAAAAATACCTCTCGGCATTCCGACGGGAACTATCCAGCTATAATATTAGGTATTATAAGGGGGTTATTTATTGGTTCCGATATAGTGTTTTAGGACTTATTCAGATTAAGTTAGAATAAATTTTATCGCCTAATAGGATAGATTATATTAAATAGTATAGTTATAGAGACGACTTATTATACGATAACATAGAAGGTTATGCTTTTCCTCTATATTATTAGTCACGGCATGTCCCTGCGTAATATATACCACCGCTTTAAGATATCTCTAAACACCGGATCGCGTATCTTCGACGAGGTCCTAGGTATAATATATTAGCTTTATATCGAATACGTTAAAAACCCACTATAGGGATATATCTCGCGATATATCGAACTATCTTAACAGAATAATTAGTTTAACGGCTATATCTAAGTAATTAACGGTATATATATAGCGGCGTGGATACTACCTAAGGAATAACGGCGGTTCTTTAATCGTAAAGGGTAACTTACCTAAAATATCCTCGCGGTAGTCGATTTTAACCTCATATTCACCTATATCCTAGTAGGTGCCGAGGGTAGTATAAACGACTCTTCCTTACTTTCAGAGGCTTTCGTGAGAGGGTCTTTTCACGTACTTAATAGGAGGTTCTACCTCGTAGATAATAGGTTCCGTAGCGATATTCGAGGTATTATAACCCTATTCGACGGCGAGAGGTACTATCTTTAAGATTTCTCTAAAATAGAGTAAAAGAGGTTATCCTTAAAGGAGCGGTTTAACCGCCTCCACGCGGGCCACTATAGTGCCGTGGAACGAGTTTTTAGTATATTAAAGAGGTCTTTCCGTATCCTTAGTAGGAAGGCACCTAAATATAGCTTCGAAAAGTAGGTGGAAATTGTGTACGCGGTAACTAGTATCTATAACTTCGTTAGAGCTATATGCACCTAAACCACGATTAACGAGGAGTTTAAAGGGGAGGAGAGACTACTATAGCTATCTGTAGAGTGTGCCGATTATAATATCGGTAATAAGGGAGGATTAAAGATACGATACTAAATATCTAAGATAATAGAATAGTAGTGGTAGTTATATAGAATTATTATTTTATTTAATTATTTAAAGTAAAAAGGATTGAGATAGCGATATTTTAAGTACCGTATTAATTATAGTAGCGGAAGGTGTTGATAAGATAGAGCTTTACCCCGCACTAATCCTTTTCGGGTAGGTGGTAAATACTCCTAGCTAATTAAATCCATAGAAAATAAGGCTTAGTTAGAATCTAGATCCACTCTAGCCCTACGCCTGCCTTTAATACTATCACTATTATTACCACTATCACTACTTCCACGCGTAGTATTCCTCTTTTTTATAAATCTATACCTCTTTAAAAACGCCCCTTTCCTATCTATTTTTACTATATTAAATAGCGTTACCTTATTAGGATTTTAAGTTAGGAACCCTGCTACCGTAATAACGCTATTAGCACTACCTAATTCGTCGCTAAATTCCATATCGTAAGCGGTAATCGCCTACGTAAGGATAGGCTTATTATAGCTTACCACTAGTATAACTAATCCGGTTATTAAAGGATTATTAGTTTTCTTCCGACGATACTACCGTAGAGCGTTATCTAAAAGGTCGTTACGAGTGATAGGTGAGCCCTTACTACTACTACTATTAGGATCCTATTATTACTTTCGACTACGCTTACGAGCTAGCGATATAGCTATTACTAGCGTTAACTGCTAACGTTTACGTTAATCTAGCTCGTGTATATCGGTGATATTCTAGCCCGTGGCGATAGTATCAGGCTAAATCTACTTTAAGGGGCTATCCACCTAATATACGCCTCCCTTTCTATAAATACGTCTTCTAACCTCGCTATATTTAGCCTTAAAGATATCCTACTATTCCGCGGTCGCCTTAACTATACCGGTTTTATCGTCGTAGTTATTTATACCGGACTTACCAATAAGCGTAAGGACCGCTCGTAGCTCTTTTTCCTTATTATCGAGCTTTGATATTATCGCGTTAACCGTTAGATTAGCTATAGGCAATACCTCTTATATCTCGGGTAAGAATCCACTTAAAGCTAGCGTCCTAGCTAACCTCTTATTACTAGTCGTAAATAGGGTATTATCGCGACGCGTAGTAACTATACGTTCGAAGAGATCACGTTTAATAGCGTCGCTTTAGGATACCCGCGTAGACTATTTACCGGATAAGGAGATATTAGTTTAAGACGCCGAGCGCTTTAGTAAGGTAGTTTTCTGCGTATTTACGTCGTCTTCGGATACCTCGTTATCGCTAAAGGGGTCGGAATCGATAGTATCCTTCCTTTAAGTGGTATTTTAGGTAGGCTCCTAATCGATATCTTATATCTACGACTCGATATCCCCGGAGCTAGGGCTAGGTATATCACGCAAGGACCCTTCTATAACTTACTCCACGCTAATAGAACCTAAGCCCGCTATATAGATATATATAGGAGTCGCGACGATAATCTATAGCAGTAAAAGAATAACGACTTTAAAATTCAAAATACCTAACCCCTTATTCCGGATCGGGTCGATATTTCCCCCATATAAAGACTTTATAAACTACATAAAAAGTTATATCGAGGCCAAGGGCCGGCGTTAAATTAGCGTCTTAGCTACGTTTATCACTTATATAAAAAAACTGGAAAATCGTTAATAGTTATTGAGATTGTCGAACGGGGCCTAAGATACGTAGGTTTTCTTCATAACGCATTCTATTCTCTGTCTGGTTTTATGCCATGTGCACACCAGTGCGGACGGAGTGAGTTACTCCCTACCTACCTTATTAGGGATAAGGGATAACGTATCCGTCCAACCTGTCGCCGTTGTGTTTAACCTACCTTACCTAATTAGGCAGCCGGGCCCCTGCCGATCGATCGGAAGGAAATTACGCAAGTACAAAGTAGCGGCCGAGCCCCAAACGGATACCACGTATTACATAGAAGTTGACTGGTGACAGGCTTATATAATAGACCAGGTGTACGAAGTACTATTCACCGGGGCTCGGGCATCGTCGACAAGGGTTAGCTGCCACTATAGCGACTGCCGAGCCAAAGGGGGGGCTTGACCCCTGACTAGGTACCTACGTTGTTGGTATTCAACGTTTATTCCAATCCACATCTGTATCCCTATTCGCAGACACTTTGTCGTTGTGTGCCTAGCTTCATTGCTTATTTTGCATAGTTTAATTACGTTGTACGCCTATGCACACAATCCGGATCATTATTCGAAGTTATCCCTCCAGTGTGTCTACACTGTAATATTAATTATACTGATTCATGTTGACCCTCGGGCCTCTCCCCCAGTCACCATGACAAACGTTTTTGCAAGCTCGTTTCTTCCTTTGGGGGGGTTTTTTTTTTTTTTTTCCTTCCGCTTCCTCTCCGACGATATTTGACATCTACTCTTACCTCGAGCGGTGACATCCATTGGGATTTGGGACTCTACACTCGTTTTATTTTCGTTCATTCTTTTGCTATTCTTCCCTGTCCTAGGTCATCTGCTCAACCGGCGGCCCGAAATAGAGCTGGCTCAACCCTCTCGGCGTCTTCAAGACTTCTTTTTTTGCGGTAGAAAGATCGGGTCCTAACAAGTCGGATCCGGCATTGCCCTCTTTTCGCTTGTCACCGGTGCCGAACCAGTCTTCCATTCTCTCCGTACAGACAGCGAACACGAGCTTCCGGTCTGCACCAAACGACTTTAGGAGGACAAGACCCGGTATCTGTCGCCCCGATGAAACCTCTTGACCCGAGGGCCATCCTCGGCGCGGCCGCTCTCCTCTTGCTCTCGGCGTCAGAGTCGAACGCACACACACACGATGCTCACAGGCGAGCCCATGTCCACCACAGACATGTCCACTCCCATGGCTCTCAAACCGATGCCCACCACCTCGTCCAAAGGAACGCCCAGGGCAAGGCCTTGTGCAGCCTGCCCAACCACCCCGACCTGGTCCGCGTCCCCGGCCTGTTAAACAACGGTTTCGCTATGAGCCCTGACCAAGAATGCGTGGAGGGAATCTGGTGTCCCATCGCCTGCAAAGCAGGGAAGGTCATGGCGCAGTGGGAGCCTGGATCCAGTTTCACTTACCCATCGTCCATGGTATAACGACTCGCAACCCCAACGGCCCCCCACCCCCCCCAGCTCTTCCCCTCTACCCAACTGGCACAAGTCGCTTTTTTCTGACTGCTTTCCGAATTCCCCAGAACGGCGGCCTCTATTGTGGCGCCGGCGGCAAAGTAGAGAAGCCATTCCGGAACAAGCCCTTTTGCGTTGACGGTGCAGGCACCGTGAGTGCTGTCAACGAGTGCGGGAAGCCTTTATCCTTCTGTCAGGTAATCGCCCTTTTACTTCCATTCCTATCCCAAGGCATAGGGGGCCCCCTTAAGAGAAGAGCCCTCCTGCATGTGCAGCTTGGCTGACAACCCTCTCCAAGACCATCCTTCCTGGGAACGAAGCCATGCTATCCCCTACCGTCGTCTATGAGTCGGCAACCTTGGCCGTGCCTGACCCTAGCTACTGGCGCGAAACAAGCGCACAGTAAGTCGCTCGCGTGGTCGCCTGTCTTTGTCCTCGACATTTCTTCTAATACGTGAGCTCAGCTTCTATATCAATCCCCCGGGCGTGGAGGACGAGGGTTGCATCTGGGGTGACCCCTCCAAACCTGTCGGCAACTGGGCCACCTACGTGGCTGGTGCCAACCAAGACGCGAACGGCAGGACTTTCGTCACACTCGGTTATAACCCGATCTGGGAAGGATCCAGCCTGAGCAGCACCAAACCCAACTTTGCCGTCAAGATTGAATGCCCCGGTGGTGGCTGCAACGGCACGCCCTGTTATATCGACCCTTCCGAGAACGCCGTGGGCGATGTCACCAGCGATCTGGGGTCCACGGGTGCCGGAGGCTCACAATTCTGTGTCGTGACCGTTCCCAAGGGCGGAAAAGCCAACATCGTTGTATACCCGATCGATGCCTCAGGCGGGGACACCGGGGGGGATGACGGCAACAAGGACGACGAAGATGAAGATCAACGAGATGATGATGAAGAAGAAGAAGAAGCGGAAGCGGAAGAAGAAGCAGAAGAAGCGGAAGAAGAAGCAGAAGAGGGTGGAGAAGATGAAGAGCAAGGGGAAGACGAAGACGAAGAAGAAGACGACGACGTGGTGGTGGTGTCTATGGATAAGCCATCTTCCGAGCTACCGATACAATCGCCCACCTCGACCGCCGAACCTTCGTCTGAGACATCCGTTGCCTTCACTCCAGCCAACACTAGTGCGCCGTCGCGAGCTGGTGAAGGAACGACCACTTCCACAACAGAATACCCTTCGGTCCTCCCAGGTATCTTTCACGGGGATGACATTCCAGCGGCCCAGGTTTCGGGCACCTCCGTGTCGGCCAGTCTCGAGACAAGCAGGGCAACCTCCGAGTCGGTTTCCGAGGCGCAAAACGCTGCCTCAGTCGACTCGGGCCAGAACGAGGGGATGAGACATGAAAACACAGCTGTCGTCGGCCTTATCGTTGCCCTCATCGCTACTGGTTTCTTATTTTAACCGATTACTGCACCCTCGCCAATCCACCGCCCAGACGCCCAGAGGTGTGGCTTTGTTAACGACGCAATTATTTATTCCTTCCGTCTCAAAACGTGTCCGAAGATATGCATTAGCGACTTTCACGTCGACGATGCATTTATTTTAGCACATTGCCTTCTCCTAAGATACCCTTCATTTTCATGCCAACTTGAATGTAACCATGATTTAAGTTTTTCTTTCTTTTCGTTCTTTTCGCTACTCGGCTTTGACATATAACTGGCTTTCTAAGAGAGGATGGAAAGGAAGCCCGCGGCCATCTTTTTACGGGCATGTTCCCTCTTAGGCCCTTCTTGTTACTGATCCTCCTCCCCCTGATTTCCGGTTTCTATTCTCTACACCTTTTTATTTATATATTTTACATTTCCCATTACTTCATTTTCTAATACTCTGCTTTTTACGTAATTCTATATCTTTTCGTATTTTTTTATCCATTATTATAATTATTTTTTCTTCTCTTCTTTTCTCTTCCGGAATTTCTTCTTCGTACACAACCTCTGTATTGTGTCCCTTTTGTATGACCCATACCACTGCTTCCTGTTTCTCCCATCATCGTCGTATTTTGGAGAAGAAACCTAATATGTGGTCAAAAATCCGAGTGGAAACAGGTGGGGAGGCTGTGGTCGGGATGGATCAAACGCGTCATGACTGAAGAGCGCCTCGTTGGATTATGTGCAGAAGCACTAGATCATGGCTCTAATTCCAAGATAGATTCCTGCCGGCTTGCTCTGTTTGTGACTGATGTATTTATTACACCCGTGGCAAAATATCTATCGTTGCCAACGAGCGCTTCCAGCGTGGTTCGGCGTGATCTTGATAATCCGGACCTGTAATGGTCCAATGTCTCGCACGATGTGGTTTCCTAAGCCCCATGTTTCTTCCTGCTTTTATTCCTATTTCCGCCTCCTGCTTTCTTGTGTCCAGTTGTCGATATTGCTGATTGACACGAGGCTCGGCAGCGAGGAGGGAATGCAGCAGTTAGGAGAGCAGCCCAGCGAAGATTGGCTGCGTGTGCAACCGAAACTCTTCCTTCCTTCTCCCGCATGCATCGGCTGAGACAAGACACCATCAGTCTTTTACCCATCCGGGAACGTCATCCAAATCAACCTCTCCTTCGTGGTATTTCCTCTCCCTAATAGCAAGCCACGGCGTCGGCCAACCCGCAACCACGGGGCTCCGTTTCGTCGCCCCCATAACGGCAAAGCGGCCGGAAGAATGCGCTACGTACCCATGCATGAACCCTTGCGATATCAGACTCGCCACCACCATCTCGACGTCCGCCAACGTCACCTCGGCGTCCCCCCACACCAGCCCTTCGTTGGGCCGCAGCCTTTTGGACCCGCCGTCGGGGGGTACCAGCGTGGAAGTCGCGTCATTGGCCACCGCGCGCATGAAAACGGCCGACACGTGGGGCGGGCGGGCGCGCCGCGGCGGAGGACGCCAGCCTTGCAGGCGACGCTGCTCGTAGACGGCGACGGTTTGGAGGTCGGCGAGGTCCAGGGTCGCGGCCTTGCGGGCAACGGCGTTGGGGTCGTCGGCGGCGGCGGCGGCGGCGCCCGGGTAGGTGAGGAGGAAAGTGCGACGGGCGAGGGAGCGCCAGAGGAGGGGTCGAAGACGGTGGGTGAGCACCAGGAGGAGCCCTTTCTCGAAGAGCCAGTCCTCGTGGGCTTCGAGGGCGTGCTGGAACTGGACAAAGTCGCCGCTGCGCACGGCCGCGGCCAGGGGGTCGAAAACCGGCGCCAGGAAGTTGGCGGCCTCCGGGCGGGAAAGGAGGGCCTGGGTGGGCAGACGGCCCAGGATGAGGTTGGCGGGGATCAGGTAGGTGAGGATCCGCTGGCGGTGGGAGAGGAGCGACGGCGGTGTCTGAACGTAGGCTTCTTGCAAGCAGAGGGCGGCACGGACAAAGTGGCAGCTGGCGAGGTTGAAGCGGCCGAGGTAATAGAGAAAAGTGACGCGCTGTGCCGCTGGGTATAGGGCGAGCGGCGGCGAGTTGGTGGCGATGTTGGTGAAGATCTGCTTGGCGAGATGGGTCCGGCGGCAGGCGAAGAGCAGCCGGAGGACGAGGTTGGCGAACATGTAGACGCCAATTTTCTTGCCCTCGGGCTTGCTGTACCGCCCGCTGGTGCGGTCGGTGAGGCAGGTGGTGAAGATCTTCTGGATGATTTCCGCCGACATCTCGGCGATGGACTTGCGGTCGTCGGCTTCGACGTTGCGCAGTCTCCGCGTCAGCTCGGGCCGCCGGCTGACCTGCATAGTGAGCCGCGACATGGTCTCGCAAAGCGACATTGCCGTCTTGAGAAGCATGCCGCCGTATGTAGGATGGGCGAATGCCGTGCCACATGAGCTAATGGATGGGGGCAGAACAGGACGGGGCATAAGGCGTCAGTAATCAACTTGATCGCGACTAATATAATATGATGTAGTTGGTAAGCTCACTTCACCAGCCCACAAAGCAACGCGTGAGCAGTCAGGAGGTTGTTGAAGTCCACGTCCCTCCAGAATATAAGATAATCCTTGATGAAGGTCACAAACCCGGGCCACGGCGTAGCTTTGCCATCGGGTACCTCGTCATCCTCCGGGAGACATTGCTCAACAGCCTGCTCAAGGGCCGGGCCGTCTTTTCGTGGGAACCTCGTGCGAAGTTCGGCGGCGAGGACATGATATGTCTGCGAGGCTGTTGGTTCGACTGGGAGCCACTGCCGGAGTTCATCGACATCCTGGCGCCGAACAAAAGTCCGGATCTGGGAAAGGAATTGTTCGAGTAAGGCCATCGCATCGCGCTTGACCTTGCGAGGCCGGGGAGTCGCTTGTGTTTGAATATTACCATCATCGGATACGTCTAAGAATTACGGATCCTACCTTGCGCAGTAAGTGATTCGGTCGGTACCTTATTACCTACCTTATTAAGTACCTTCCCATAGGTGGATCTGGCACCGTATCTCGTACTGTGTGCCACCACGTACAGACGGCCTAAGTATATTTCCTGTATCTTCTCGAGTCAGTGCAAACCCAAATACGTAACCAAGGTAGGTTTATACGGAGTAGGAAGTACCAGGTGTTGAGTTCACTCTTCGGGCTCGCTGACACCTACAAGCTTTGTAGAAAGCTACCTACAAAGTTAACATTTGCAGCATCCCCCTTTGAAAGCTGTCGTCTGTCTCGCCTATCGTCACTACCTCAAGGTTACTCACTTGACGTGTCACAATAGAGGTGTCATCAACTAGACTATACCTTAATGAGCTTGACGCCTAAAGCAAGAACAGAACCAGCCATGGAAGCTCAGTGGCTTACCTAAGGTACCTAGTTAAGTTCACGCCCAGCATGACTCTGTAGCCGCCAAGGGGAATTCGGCGAGGCGTCCCGTCTGTCATAACAATGCTCCCTCAGGTAGTGTCAGATGCCACAGCCACCTTATCGGAGTGTGACAAACCACATTATATCAGACGTGTGGAGTACCTCGGTCCTATATATCCACCCTTATTTCCCCTGCTTTTTCCGTATAGTTAGATATTCCTATAAAGTATTATAAACTTCACTTAGATGAATACACACATAATTCCGCGTACCTTAATTTGTGTTCTGACAGGTAGGTAGGAAAGCAATAGCATTGCCAGAATTCCGATTATTTCTTTCTCAACTCATGATATAAGCCTACCCATCAGAAACTAAAACAAATTTAATGTACAACCGGGCCGGTCCGGGTAGCAGAAGGGAAAAAAGGGACGTGACAGATACAATGATGAGCGGCATGAAATGGGTCAAAGTCGTGCCAAGGATTGCGGGTTCTGTGGTCCAGATAGCAACGCTAAAGAACTACTACCCGTTGTCCTAGCTAGCACAGGGCGCTGAGCAAGCAAGCCCCGTCGAAATATTATATCTTTCCTACGAGACGATAACCGCCGCCCGTGCGTGCATGCCTCTGCTCTGTTGGTTTTCCGAACCCCTACACTTAAAATTAAAATGAAATCGTCGAATCAATGCCGTATCATGATTAATTCGTTCGAGGTCAAGGCATCAAAGGAGAGCACCTTAGCTCGGTTCCGACCACGTGGCAGCCGTAAACGAACCCACCAACCTAGGCGGTGGTGGTGGCGGTGGGTGTCTCGGTGGGGGCATCGGCGGAAGGAGTGGCGGCAGGGGCGTCAGCCGGGCCAGCAGCATCAGCGCCGTTGGCCTTTTCCTCCGGTGCGTGGGCATCGTCGTCGGTCTTGTCGGGGCTGTCGATAGCAACCTTCACAGCAATCTCCCGTCCCTCAATCTCCTTCCCGTTCATCTCCTGTACAGCCTTCTGCTGCATTTCCTCCGAAGCAAGAGTGACGAATCCGAAGCCACGTCCCTTGCGAGGCTCGCCGCGCGCTTGCAGCTTCTTGATCATAAAACGGGGAATGGGCCGCAGGGCAATCTTGGCCGAAGACGGTTGGTACGCCTGGAAAAGTTCCTTCAGCTGTAATTTTTTTTCCCTTGTCAGCAAACAATAGCCTGTCAAATCTTATACATCGGAAGACAAACCTTCTCCTCGGTCAGGTCATAGGGCAAGTTAGCCACCATAACCTTAGTCTTGGAGGCGATGCCGTCTGCAGGAGGACCGCGCTCGCGCCGCTCACGGGGAGGACGAGCCTGGTTGGATTTCTTGGCCTTGTCAGAAGCGTCTTTATTGGCGACATCGGCCAATGCTTGCCCTTCGTCGGTGGCCTGGGCAGCATTTTCAGGAGCAGCAGCCGAATCGGTAGCTCCCTCATCCTTTGCATCCTATTTATGGAATGGCCATGACGCTCACAGTTAGCCATCTCAAACTATAACAATGGAACGGCCATTTCCGGGGAAATCTAGAAACTTACGCGTCCACCTCGGGCGCCGCGGCCACCACGACCACGGCCTCGACCGCGGCCAGATGAGCGGCGTCGGTGGCCCTCCTCACCACCCTCTCCGTTTCCGCCTTCTGTCTTCTCTCCAGCGGGCTCCGGCTTGCGAGCAAGTTGGACGGACACCTTACGCTCGAGAACTTCCTTTCCCGAAAGCTCGGAAATTGCGCGTTCGGCCTCGGTAGGGGTGGAGAGGTCAACGAAGGCGTAACCGACGGGTCGGTCGGTGCGAGGATTCTTCGGGATGGAGACGGATTCACTAAATCCATGGTTAGAAGCAAGCAGCAACGCGAAGCGAGAGAAACAAAAAGGAAGAAAACGAATGAAGGAATAAATGAAGCAGAGAAAACGCCTCATCGGGTCGCACGACTACCAGCTCTGCAGACGAGTAGTATCCATCAAATATCTCGGCACCGAGAAAGGTCGGGGTAGGGACGACGGTTGACAGCTGGACTCGTCTGGACAAAACTGTAAAGGGGAAACAATCCGTTGCTGCACGTTTGGGACCGCCTCCTCCTCGCCGACCATGGTTCGGTAATATATATCGGGCAGCAGTGCCAACGTCCAAGTTTGACCCAGTCGACTGTGTATGTACAGCTGCGCAGGGCACTACCCAGGCTTTGTGGATTTGGGGGATGTACGGGTGAAGCTGCTGCAGCAACCACGCAACCACGTGCCAAATGGTCATATGCATCGCGGGGAAGGGCAAAGGGGCAAGGACCAACGGCAGGCTGCAACTTACACAAGGTATCCCTTGAAGAATTCCTTCAGTTCCCCCTCAGTTGTCGCATAGGCCAGGTTGCCGATGTAGAGTCGTCGGCCCTCCGCAGCGCTAGCCAGAACAGCCTCGTTGTTAGCGGCAGGTTTGGACTCGTTGGCCTTGTCGTTGATGGCAGTATTGCTCAGAGCATTGGTAACGTCATGAACGGCGTCAGTGACTTTCTCCACTACGGCAGACATTTTGGGCGTTTGATGTGGTGTGGATGGAGAGTGGCGGCGTTGTGGTGATGCGAAAGCTGTTTCGGCTTGAAAGGATGACGTGCGACGAACTTGGACCTGGTGAAAGGAACCGTCCGAGGCTTTGGTGGATCAAATTGAAGTTCGCGGGAATTGAACTCTGAGGCAATGGAGGGGGGGTTGTTAGGGTAGCTTGGTGCCCTAGAAAGCTTGAAAGGGGAAACAAACGGCTTGCGTTGACGGATGACACAGATTCTTGGATGTTGTGGTGAGGAGGAGAAAGAAGCGAAAGGGAGCTGGCTGATAATATAGGTATTTCCTACAAATATTTTTTTTGCCCCCCTTTGCAGGGAAGGGGCAAGGGGTCAGGTGCTGGGGCGTTTGGGGAAGGCGCCAAGCAAACAAAGCCAAACGTGCACAGGCACAGACAAAGATCCACACAGGCGTCCAAGTCAGTATCTCGTCAGGATAACATGACAAGCCACTTGCTCGCCCAGAGGCCCTTCCGCGAGAGGACATGTTTTATTTCGCTTTGGCTTTTCTTATATGGAAGCTCTTTACGAGGTACGATGGGATTACGGATGATGTCCTGACTACCAGGTACCTACATTAGGTAAGGTGAGGTAGGCAACAGGTTTGCACGGAGTAGGTACCTCAGGAACATGTACAAGGTAGGACTCGATATCCCATAACCTGGGTTAGCTATCCTGCGGAATAGCTAGCACCTTGGGTGCAGATATTGTCTCGAGTATCTGGCAATATCCGGAATATGGACGTCTGGCAAGCACACTGCTTCCATTTCATCCCTCAATATTGACTAAGGTGATAACCAAGTTGTGTTATGGCGTTGGGTAAGGTAGGTAGAAACTGGCTTGAATTACCCAAGCAGGTAGTACCTCGCGTCGACGGGCACAAACAATGCAACATAGAAGGCGAGTTCTTTTATACTAGTATTCCGCGGGTAATTTGATTGATATTGAACTTGATTGACTTCTCGAGGAAGTACGACGTCCCTTCCTACACAAATAATTACCTAAGGTACCTTACCTACCTAGGTACTGAATAAGATAAGTTTCCTAAATAAGGTACCTTACCTATAATACGTAGCAAGGTACCTAATGTTTACCATCACGCTCCTTGGCATCCCCATCTCTAAGGAAACGACTACGGAGGCTATCTGGATGAGGTAATAGCACTGATCGGTAAAGCATTATGTTTAGGTCGCACTGGCAACTTGTCTTCTGTTCAGTCGCCTCGTGCCTCTGTAAATACCCTGCCTTTTATGTACAGGTAATGAGTTGGAAGCAGCGGTATATCTAGATTGAACACCTCTGGTAGAAAACTACCATGATATATAAGGTAAGGATGGAAGTTGGCATAAGTATCTATCTCAGCTGTCCGTCCCCCGTACCACCTTTTTCAAGCGAAGATATTCGTTCAAGGCACCGAGCGAGATACTTGTCACAAAGGGAAGGTTCTCGAAGGCGCCCCATGTTCATGTACGAAGTAGGTAAGGTAAAAAGGTTACCTCTCGATGATGAGGTGGCGATATACTCTGCTAATCATACTCCGTGCGAAGTACGGATATTACGGATCCCGTTCTTCGTATCTTCTTCGTGGTTGAGGGAGTGTAGCCCGTACTCCGTACCTCGTAAGGGTCCCCTTTCCCTCACCGATGGGTCACACTCACGACGCATAACGGGATACCGGAAATTGCATAATTCAACGAGATTAGATCTTTTTGGCCAGTGCTCATCTCTGATTATGTCTAAGAAATGATACAGTGTACGCCTCCGAGTAGGGGACGGAGTAATGACTATGTGTCGCTACTGTCTTTACTGTGTGACCGGTATCGCAGCGACGTTGAGCAATTGACGACACAGTGAGTTGTCGGTACTACCTTACTTCGTAGTTCCATAACACACCGACGAGGTGAGGCATGCGAAACGACATACCTAAGGTAATTAATTAGTGGCCACGTTATCTCCAGACGGTGTACCCCGTAAATCTTAGGTCCATTCTGTCGCATGGGCAGGACCACGATATAGTCCATAGGGGATCCAGGGGGGATCCACTCCATAACTAAGGGCTCCGGATATCGGGGACTTTAGGTATCAGGATATAATAAGGGTGGATACCGGAAAAGACCGGATAGGATCTAAATAATATAGTACCTATAACAGAGTCTTTACCACCTAAATTAAGGGCATAAGAGACTCTCCTAGATATAACTTAAGATAATATATATACACGAGATTTCTACTCTACTAAGTTAATTATTAAAGTGTCTTTTAACGTGCGATAGTTATAAGCCCGGTTTATAACGTCTAAATAATAGATATTAATAAGGCTACCGCTATTCTACTATAAAGAAGCAATTATATCTATACAAACACTCTTAAATAACTACTATTAACCTAATTAGAGTAATTAAAAGACTAATTAACCTACCTATTAATTAACTAACCGATAAACGATAATCTAGTAAGGATATCTTCTAACGTATCTAACGCCGAATAGAAGGCGGCCGCTATTACCCTTATTAACTAAAGGGATTAGGTAGTTTAGGAGCGCGCTATACACGGTAAATCGGCCTCCTACTAGGATAACTACCTTAATCTAAAGCTAAGCGATAAGGAGGCTAACGCCTATCTCCTCCTTATACCTATACCCCCTAATATTCGTAAATACGAAGCCCTCGCCGCAGACCCTAATACGGAGGAGGCCATGGCCACCACTATCACGGCTACTCCGCCTTCCACTATCACGCTACAGGGCGATAAGGCCACGGATACCACGGACGCCGCCGCCACGGCCGCTACCACGGCGGCTATAGCCGCTAGTAAAAGGAAGACGGCCGCTCGCCGGAAGGCTACGGCTATAACGAAAGAATTAACGACTAGGACGCCTATATTTATCGACAACCTCTTTAAAAAGGGGCGCACGCGCTACATATAAAATCGCCGTATATACCGCGAGGAAAAGGCAGACTATAACGCGTAGTAGAAGGAGTTTAATAAGGTACGCTCCTATATTAAAGGGACTATATACACCACGTTATATAACCTCCTCGCCTAGCTATAGGATAATACCGTAAATAACCCGCGGGCCTGGATTACTCTCCTATATATGCATGTAGGACCGATACCTATAGACCTCCGTAAGGAAGCCTTAGTCCTATACCGACGATACACTACGCCTATAAAAGCTATACCTAAGGATATAGACGCTTAGGTAGTAAGCTAAAAAAACAGCGATAATATACTATAAATATATAGGCGTTTTAGAGGTATTAAGCGCAGACTATTAGGCAGAAGACGCGTTAAAAGCTATTAAACCTATTATCTAGGAATAGAGTAATAACTAGCTAGTAAATAACTACGATAAGATTACGGAAAATAAGCTAACGATTAACGACTTTATAAAGGCTTTAAGGGCGGTTCTTAGTAATATAAAGAGCCTATAATCCTCCGCTATAAAGCCTAGAGTTAGGAGAGGCACCTTTAACACCCTTAGGAACCTCCCCGATACTAAGGATACTACTACTACTAATAATAAAGATAATAAAAAGCGTCCTTATAGCGATACGTCCTTAAAGGCTATCCCTCCCGTAATAAAAAGGCCCTATAAGATATACGAAAACACCTATACTACCGCTACCTATTAATACGTAAGGCCGGATATATGCCCTTATACCTAGCGTAGCCATGAAGATATTATAAAGGTCCCGGAAAAGAAGATACGTATTTATAGTTTTAAAAGCCGCGTGGATATCGCGATACAGAAAAGACGGGAAGTAGTAGCTACCACCGCTAATAAGATAAAGGAAGTCTAGGAAGATTAACTCTATAATACTACGCTTATTATAGTTTATAAAGACCTATCCGTTACCGCGATAGGGAGACTAGGAGCCCCCCTAACCTAGGGGGTAGCGCGTCGTCGTATAATAATACTATTAAGATTATAATAAGAATAGGGGATATCCCTTTCTATTAACTAAGCTAGAGCGCTATCACACTACACGATCCTAAACTCAGGATTATTAATCTATATCTTTAATAATCAAGGCTGTTTTACGACCGTTAGACTACCCACGGTTAATTTATTAACGCTTTAGGTAGGTACTTATAAGGCTCCTATCCTCGAATATAAAGATATTAAGCTACGTATATGATCCTTAGCGGGTATAAAAAGACTACTACGCCTTCGTAACGTCGTATACTATAAGGAATTCGTTACTAATATTGTCTCGGAACGCTAGCTACGCCTATAAGGTTACCGCTAGAATACCGTAAATAATATTATTATTAGCTCCGCTAACGACTAGCCTATCTATAAACTACTAAATATCCACGGCCAGTATATAATCGAGCGCGCGGAAGCTATGGCCGCCACCGCGTTCACGGTCTTGGTAAGGCACCCCCGCGATAACCCGTATAGAAGATCACGATAACCGTGGTAACCGTAGAAGACCACGGTATAATAGTAGCACGAACGCCTTAGCTATTATAGCACTAATACTCTCGTAAAGATCGTCCACGCTACTTAGGGGGTACGGATAAAAGGACTACGTATAACGGACTATAACGTGTGTGGATAGTCGTAAATACCTATATAGATCTGGCAGATACTATCCTTTTACCCGTTAAAGCCCGGAGAGGCCCTAGCTATTAGTTTTCACGATCTAAAAGAGGCGGAGTAGTTAGCGGGCAGATAGTATAAGTCTATTATATTCGTTATAGACGTGTATATAGATTATATATAGGATTACTACCTATAGAAAAGAGACTAAGGCTCTATCCTACACGCTCTAAAGGACGTTTTTACCCTGCTTAAAACCTAATTCGACGTTAGGCCACGCGTTCTACGGGTCGATTCTAAGATATTTTAGCACCTAGAAGTCGTTACTTTCCTCGCTACTAAGGGGGTAGAAGGCTAGCCGTTAGTACTATATTCACAGGATTAGAATGGTGTGGTAGAACGGATTAAAGGTATCGTTAAGAGAAGGGCGAGGGCTATAAGGATTAGAGCTAATCTACCTATATCTATCTAGCCTAAGATCTTTAAGACTACTATATATCTATATAATAGAACGCCACGATATATTAATAACTAGAAGACACTATACAAAGGCCTACGCGGCCGTTAACCTAACCTTATGCACCTGTGAGCTTACGGCTATAAAGCCTTTATACAAACGCGCGATGCCTAAGCTAAAAGAAACCGCCTGTAAAGGCTAGAACCGAAAGCATAGATCGGCTATTGCGTCGGATACTAATCCTCGAATAGCTTCCGTATTTAGCTATTATACCTAACGGATATTATCACTATAAAAGACGTGGTCTTTAATAAACATAAGATATTGAACGGTAGGATTAAAACGCTATAAGCTATAGCTTCCGCTAAGGAAATCAGAGAACGCCTATAATCTATCTGTATTACCTATACTATAACCGCGAATAGGCTACTATTAAGGAATATAGCTATAAACGTATTAGATCTCGAGTCGGAAGACTTTTACGCCACCGCTATTACTACGGATAAAGGCGAGGCCGTCGCTATTACTATAAGAGAGGCCACTACTATTACTATAGACTACACTGCTATTACTATAGGCACCGCTATTACTACGGACACTACTATT